ACTCCGCTTGTCTAAACTTTATAAATACATAATATAACTCATAAACTACTCGTCCTAAATTCGATTTTTATGAATCAAAATACTTAGAAAAATATTCTACTTTGGAATATGAAATTAAAACTCTATGTTGGTAGGTGGCTACCATTATATATTATTAATATTGCCTTAAATTGTTATTTTTTGTGGAAATGTTCTTTTTCAATTGCAGTTAYAATTAATAATTTTCAAATTATAAGATTACTAATATACCTATTAATATGTGATATAATATCGGGTCTTTACTTAAAAAAATATATATCTAAAATAATTTAATTTATGCTTACTATAAGTACCTAGAATTTCTTTTTATTATTATATTTTTTAAATTATATTTCAATTATATCATGATTGAAAATGTTATAAGTAGGTGATAATCGCATAAAATTGAATATTTACCTTAAATAATTTAGTTTTCAATTTAATTATTTTGAATATAAATTTAATAAATATTTAATTTGGTGTTGAATACATCCATAATAAAAGTAATTCCTGAACTAAGTGATTAAAATTACCACCTAAGTGAAGGTGTATATTATAGTAAATAATAATATAAAGTATTCTATATCATCTAAACAGCCATCACTTTTAAACTAAAAAATAGAGTTTTTTTTTGTTTAATGAGGGATTTTGACAGTTATATGGAATTCATATAACTAATAAGATATTAACATAAAATACCTTATAAGTAGACCGTAGATATGAATTTTATAAAAATATTTTTATTCTTTTAAATTACTTTTAAAATATTTTTAATWTTTTTAATTTTTTTATTCAATCTGTTTCAAAAAAGAATAATAAGAACAACTGAGGTAATAGATACTCGTAGTAATAMAAATAAAAATAATACAACTTTTAAAATATAAAAATTTTAGTACATTATTTCAAACATAAAACCGTTGATGGTGGTTGAAGAAATAAATTGAAAGCTATATAGAATAGCTGTATAATAACAATTTACGTAGGTATAGCTATTGACACGTCAAAATAATAATAACTGTAC